CACACACAGAATAGTGTTCACTAGCCGTTACTCTGTAGCGGCTTCTAACGGTGGGCTTTCCCTCTCCCCTGGGTTCTCGAAATCTCCTCGTGCCTCAGCTACGAGCTTCTGAAAGAAACGGCTCACGAAAGCTGAACCTCAGCAGTTCTCTAACAAACTCACCAACCAAATACTTTACTTCACTTCCCTTGGCTTCACTACACTTCACTTCACTCAACTGAACTCAGCTGCACTTACTAGGACTTCTTAGTTTTTTTTTTCACCAGCCGTTTTCTGTGAACAGATCCTAACAATTTCCTCTGCTTACGTCCTTACTGACTGATGATTGTACCACTCATTAATGACTCATTACTCCAACTAACTTCCAAGCTGGCTGCCATCTCACATCAACTTTCTGCTCTGCTCTTCACTGACTGACTCAAGACTCTTCACTTCCCTGCATTGCATTACACTCTCTCACTAATTATCCAGGACCCAGGTTATAACATCTCGGCACGGAACACACATAAAATGGTGTTCTCTGTTGCTGTTCAATTGTTGCCGTTTAAGAAATTGTTTCCTAGCAGCGGGCGATTTTCGTTGTTTGTTTCGCTGTCGTTGCCTATCAACGGCTCTATACACCACACTATCAATGCCAAATATCTCCTCTGTGATGTCCGACGGATATTTGTGGGGGTAAGAAGTCTCAATGACACTCCAGAGTCATAGGTCTCGAACCACTGCTCAGAAAGGTAAACCTATCCCTGTAACAGGCCGCGGAGGCCCATATGGTTGTGAGACGTCGAGGCTCCCACATTTTCTAGACAATCGGCTCACAGATGGCGGTAAGGTTGTCAGCCTTAAGGGCCAGCCACTCTTTGCCCCCCAGGAAGATTCCCGGTATTCATTTCTATTAGAGGCTGAGTTGACCCCAGGGCCATAGTGCGGCTGGAAGGATTAGATCAACTGAAAATTCCAATGACCTCATCGGCAATCGAACCCGCGACTTTCCGGCTTGTAACATACTGCCTCAACCAACTACGCTACCGAGTACCCCCTCCACGGCTCAGTACTGGCTACTATATTGAAATGAGAATCAGTTCCTCTGTATAATAATTTCATGGTTTTCTTCAGAACGTCCAGAAAAATTGCAGGATAGTACCTCAAAATATTCTACAGCCGTTTTCTTTCAGGTCCCTCAATTTTCCCTCCATAGACATGTGAAAATATCTCATTAAATTCTACATACTTTGGTCAGTTGATACAGCATTCTAAATGACCGCATAACGATGCCCATGACTTCTGAACACTCGCTTTCTTTGAAGTATAGAGTCAATAAACAAATAATTACCAAAATTAATGACTTCTCTTTGAATTTCAAGCTACAAGAGTTAACATGCTTTGAGGCAATCAGTCGGTATGAGTATGATTTCCGGTGTATAAGAGGGAATGTACGCGTACAAAGGAGAGGCCGAGTTGCAGGATAAATACTCTGTTGACTGGAGTAAGCCATAAAGTGGTTTCGACTGATATTTCTGAATCCATTTATTGATCAATTCTGTAACGTTTTCCCATGAAACGAACGGGATCTCGCCTCCAACCTCACCTACCCACTCACGAATTCAGACCGCTAGCTCGAAAGTGGTATCACTGATTCTGTAACGAAATTTTAACTCTCATTAACATATAAAGTACCCAGAAGGATTTTTTGCTAGTTAAGAGCTCCTTTGGTGTCGCGAATAGATAATGGCTATCCCGCGTTGGATGTTGGTGCTAAAGTAAGAGGGAAATATCATTCTGGTCGTAATTTAGGTCTTGTCATTAATTCTTTCCCTTTTAATTTTTTTCTTACAATGGCTCTTCCAACCCATTCAGCGCCCGACCTCATATTCAGTTCCATAATACCGGCAGGACTTCTTGGACGAGTGATCAGCCCGTCACATGGCCTCTACCTACACACAGGACAACACAAACACAGAATAAACACCCATGCCTTAAGTGGGATTTGAACCCACGATCCCAGTGTTTGAGCGGGCAAAGACAGTTCATGCCTTAGATGGCACGACAACTGTGATCGGCAGCTCTTCTAGTAGGTACAATGACTGNTGCTTTTACCGGTTCTCACGGTCTCTTTGCTTGCAGATTCTTATATATTTTTTTCTTCTACCCTGAAGATGGAGGCGATACGTTCCTCCGAAACGTCGGTTAACACCACATATACACGGTGCCAAATCCCAGAAGACTGCTTTCTTCATAGTCACCGCCGTGAAAGCCTCAAATCTTACAAGTAAATATTTGTTTGTGCTCAGTGTATTGAGATGTTACTGAAAGAAATATGGGTTGATGTGAATGTTTGGTATCATTATATCGCAGGGCTGTGGGTCGCGACCATTTCTGACGTGTGCAGTTCACCTGCATGCAGCCTCTCTGCTCTAACTCGTAATTCAATTAGAGAGATCCAGTTAGCGTGAGAGAACGGGGGAATGTTCTGCCTCACTGGCGCTACAACACTGTACAGTCAACCAAACTCCTATACACCCTATGTGGTGCAGTACTGCAAACGCAGAACATCTTTTCCTTCATTCCCACATGAATATACAAATAAACAGTAACAGAAATTGAATTAAGCATGATTGTTTCAGAGTTAATGTAAAAAAAAAAAAATCTGATATTTCGAAAAAGAGAGAGAAAAACGAAACTGATATATGAGATTTCAATTAGAAGGTGTTTTAAGAGATCGACCGCATGTGTGGTCTAGTGGTCGGAATTCCCGGCTACAGAACCAGAGGTCCCGGGTTCGTTTCCCGGCGCTACCAGAGTTTCTGAGAAGTAGTTTGTCTGGAAAGGGGACCACTCAGCCTCGTGAGGACATTTGAGGAGCTATTTCAAGGAAATAGCAGCTCCGGTTTAGAAAACCGAAATTAACGGCCGTGGGGATCCGTTGCGCTGACCACGCGACACTCTCTATCCGCTAAAGTTGGCTCTAACTTCGTCGACAAATTACGGAGTTTCGGAGTTTTAAGAGATCTAAACTTTAAAAAGTGGGTCAGTTATTTACATTTTTATATAGCATTCCTTCACCGTCTACACAGCTAGTGGATATTGACAGACGTCTCCTGACTAATCTTCAGTATAGGTCTACAAGCTAAATATGCTAAATTACAAGCTTATATGAAAGAATGAAAAGTAATAATAATACTAAATAATACACACTCTCATGTGAAGTATATTTTCAAATAAAATTTTGTATCTGCGTAACAAGTATATGGACTATTTATCTACTTATATACTGTTACGTGTTTTCTGTGTGTCCCGCAACAAATAAATCCACGTAGGTCTCAAATTCAGTAGAGCCTTTATTGGACACTTCACTTATACAATCACGGGTACAATTATTATCCACTGTCCTCCTCGGCGGTTAATTCCAGACTGACTCCTTCGGCGACTAATTCCAGACTTGCTTCTTCTATGGAGGCTAATACCAAACTGTCTTCTTCAGCGGTTATTGGCAGACTCACCGTTCGAATGCATTCAACCCCGTTTTATAACCTCGTCCGCTGCTATGCAAACGAGCCTTTGTTGTAACCGTGGAAACTCATCTCTGCTCACTGTTAGAATTACTGTATCGCTATTGTTACTTCCTAGGCAACGGCCTGTTCTAACGTTTCCATGGAAGTAACTCTTCTGGATTCCAAACACTTTACAATACTTTATATATATATACCTTACTTATATATTTCTTATTTGAGGGTGCTGCATGTGACTCAGGTAGTTGAATGACGCTATTGTGACCCAGTCTGAGGTTCTATACAATATTTCATTGGAGAAACTGAGGATTTCCACGAAAATTCTGTCAGGATAGCCGATCTCCGAGTCTGAATTTGAACCATAGACATCCATAATACGACGCAGGAACGATAACCACTCAAGATAACGTTGATAGTTTTAATTTTCTGCTTATTTTGTTACGCTTTTGTTTGTTTATTTCGTTATGTTATTTTTCTAATATATGTATCAAAAGACCTGCTGAAGTAGTCTAAACGTGTTGCTGTATAAAACAAAGGAATAATTTAATAAAATGTCCACTAGTTTTGTGGAGGACGTAAGTTAGGCCTGTTACAACACAAATTACACTATATACGTTCTATGAACACATTTGTCTCGCTGTTTTCATGATATAAATTGGATGGTCTGAACGCCAGTGCAAGGAGCATCAGCTGTTTCGGATGCTGTTTATTTCTTACGTTCAAAAGAAGTCAGAGATGAAGTATAACTGTATCAATATGTAACGAAGACAAGAAAATATTCTATAAAAAGAGATACCACATGATAGAATATGTAAGGAACAAAGCTAAGGAAACACAAGGGAAGAAGGAAAACGTTTCCCCGAGACAAACCTTTTATATGCGAAAAGTGAAGATGGGGGATAAGATACAACGAAGAGTCAGAAGAAAAGGGTACATGTATCATAGAGGAAATATAACATGTTTAGACGTATGCTATACTTTTTTTTTTCGCTGCAATCATATCTGGATGGAAGCAGGGACACGAGAGAAAGGAACAACTTCATTATGTAATATTCTTTGTGTTGCTCTCTTCTTGGATGCATAGTAAAGGAAAAGGCTTTTTGTTTTGATCTCTTAGAATATCTTTGCTTTTCATCTTCTTTGATATTTACTATAAAGCTTCAAAGCATAGACACATTCCCCTCAAAACCGATCCATATGTCAGAATAAGAACATATTTTCTGAAAATCTCGAAGTACAGCCTTGGGTTACCTATGCGAATTATGTAAAATTATAACTAAATAGTTCCTTTCGTTTAGTGGTCAGAGTTCCTGGCTACAGATCCAGAGGTCGATTCGGGTTCGATTCCCGGCGCTACCAGATTTTTCGAGAAGTAGTGGTTCTGGAACGAGGTCCACTCAGCCTCGTGAGGATAACTGAGGAGCTATTTCAGGGGACATAGCGGCTCCGGTCTAGAAAACCGAAATTAACGGCCATGGGGATCCTTTCCGTTGACCACGTGACACTCTCTATCCCCAAAATTTCGCATTAATTTCGCCGATAAGCAACGGTCGCTCGGTCGGTATAGTTCGCTTGCGGACTAAAACCACGGAGTTCCTGATTATAACTATCAAATGACAATATGAAGCGGAGCTATTACGGAGAAACTGTTACTCGGTCAGAAATTTCCTCTATTTAATGAAAGTCATCAAGAAGATTGACTTAAGTGGTAAAGCTTCTGAATTGTATTCAGGAGGTGCCCGCATTGAGTATCGGCCGGGACTCCGACTAGACTAACTGAAGTATTTTGTGAATTTTCTCAGTCTCTCCAGGTAAATATCGGAATAGAAAAGAGACTCACGACTACTTCCTTCGACATCCTTTCAGATTCATTGTTCGCGGTCATCAAACCTTTCGACACTATACAGCCCGAGTTACTGCCAGCGTCGTTGAAATAAATTAAGAATTAATAAATTAATTAATAGAACTCGACATTTAGTACTGTGTTCACAAGAAACGGCATTTTTTAAGGCCGAAATTTAATTATGATGTTTATAAGAACTCTCGGCTCGTGGATCCTATCTAAGCCAGATGAATCCTATGCGCAATCTAACATATTTCTCCATTATCCATTTTAATATTATCGTTCCATCTATGCCACGACTTTCCAAGCTGCCTCTTCCCTTCAGATTTCACATAAAATATAATATCAATTTATCTTACGTCTTATTTATGTCTCGAATATCTCAACCACTTCAATCTGACCATCTTAATAATATTCAATGGCCGCATGGTTTGTTGCACTAAATTTCTTCGCCAACTCGAACTAATGGGATTGTAGATTTGGATCCCAGTTTAGGCACGGAAGTCTGTCTGCGATTTTCTATGTTTTGCTTTGTCCATTGTAGTCAGCGGCCTTGCTGCGGGTTGATCCCCGGTCCAAGGAATCCTTTGAACTGTCCATAAGAATAATAATTTCATAATTAATTCTGAATAGGAACAGAGAGAGAGAGAGCCTAATCCGTCAAGGTAGTAGAAGAAGAAGAATATCTGGTGACGAATATAAGTCTCTACAGCTTGTCACTTACTCTCATGGTCCAAATACTCTCCTAACACTTCAAATGCAGACATTCTAAAATAATAACATCAAGCTTTGATTCGTATTTGGAATTCCTTATTTAGAATACCAGTTACAATTTAACTAAATCACAGTGTGAGTCTTATAAAGGAAGTAAACGAACCCGAAGATAAGCTGCGAGCATTGTAACGAACCTCACAGAACAGCTGAACAATTATCTCGGAGCCTGTCGTGTAGAATGGCGGTGAGCCTCCTCTCAAGATCCCATGGTGCATCTGCAGAGAAGAACAGGAACATTTAACCATTTTACTCCTGACATTTCCTTCCTTTGACTAGCATTCACCTAGAATGTATACTTGTACTGTCTTGGAGCAGAGTGTTAGTAACAAAGTAACGTTCTTTCATTTTTGTTGCCGCTCGTCTGTACGGCTCCTGAAGAAAGGGACATTTTCTCATTCCTCACATCCCACCGTCATTGACCTTGAGAATGGTCAGTTCACCTTAATGTCACTCCTCTGACGACAATACACTGGTTCCCAACATGTGCCTCTTTTCCAAAATTTTTGTTCCCCTTTTTCTATTGGCTCATACCGGGTTGTACCTCCTCGCTCCTCTCTTGAGGCTCTGAGTGACCTCACACGGTCTCACTGCATTACTCGACCAAGACCACATCGCAACCATTTCGACCTAGCAAGATGGGTAAGGTCCTGATGTATACCCTCAGGGAGACGCCTGCTTCGAAACATAGCTGGGACATTGATTATCCTATGGTTTTCCTCTGTCTCTCCAGGCACACACTCAGACAATACCGCAATTAAGGCCATTGCTTTTTCGTTCCATATCATTTCTAATTCATTACTATCATCGACCCTACAGGTTGGCCTAAGATGAGCTCGGTTCGAATCTGTGTCCGGACACCGGCTATCGTAACCGATGTTTCTTATGGTTTCCATTATTCTTTCCAGCCAATTTCTGGCGTTAGTTTCCTGAATAGGCCACCACCACTTCCTTCCAAATCTGTCGCAATTAATCAGTCATCCTACCATCAGAAGCAGTATAATCTCGTTACTAAAAGCGTCGTTAAATAAACAAGAGAAACTACAAACAAACAAAACAAACTCCGTGGCTTAAGTTCGCAAGCGAAATATACCGATCGAATGACCGCCGCTTGTCGGAGAAGTTAATACAAACTTTAGCTGATAGAAGGCGTTGCGTGGTCGGCGTAACGAATCCCCACGGCCGTTAATCTCGTTTTCTAGACCGGAGCCCCTATTTCCTTGAAATAGCTCATCAATTATCCTTATGAGGCTGAGTGGACCCCATTCCAAACCCACTACTTCTCTGAAAATCTAGTAGCGCCGGAAATCGAACCGGAACCTCTGTATCTGTAGCCAGAAACTCTGACCCCTAGACCACAGATGCAGTCAAACAGCAGAAACTATCAAGTAATTTCTCGTTTTATTGTCTGAGTTACTAACAGTGTTATTAAATGGATTACAAATTAAAGAACATAAATTGTTTTGGTCTCCACTGCAGCAGAAGCCTTTCGGTGCGTGTTTTATGGAGATCAAACTGGCCCCTGTGTTTGCATCTCGCGCTCGACGTCTCAACAGATGATCCTTTCTAATATGAGCTCCCCTGTAAAGAACATCCATCATAGCGGGGAGCATGAAGTTACACGACATATGTGCAGGGAAGGAATGAAGGGAAGAGAAGGGGAATAGCAAAGGACTGCACACCGGGATCTACACACGTGTATGAGTACAGGTGTGTATGACAGCAGTACCTAACAGTTCCTTAATCAAAACCTCTTAATGAGTGTTTAAGACATAGAATTGCTGTGGCATTAGAGGTATAAGTTCCGATGAAACATAAAATCATTCTCTTTGGAATGTGACGCTCTCTAGTTGGTAGATATAAATATTTCGGAAACAGGTGCTGCCTCCATCTTCAGGGTGGAGGAACTTTCTTATAACCTGAGAGTGCGGGCAGCAGATTCCTGCGAAAACCATCTTCTATCCTCAGAAATTATATTGTCACGTATTAGGATTGGGACCATTTCTCACGAATTCGGTGTTTGCGTGACTAATAATAATGGGTTCTGGATTAGATGAATAGATTTTTTGGACACTCATAAGGCGTAACTACAAATAATTATAACACTCTAAAGATTATTGTAAATATAACACATAAAATAAAGTCTTCAATACCTGCTTGCTTAGTCATTGCTTGGTAATAAATCTTATCTGGTTAACGCTTCACAGATGAATATTCAAATGTCGAACTGCCTTCTGAATTCCCTTGCGAATGAATTTCTGACTGCCTTGAACAATGTCTGTCTGATGAACGCTCTGAAAGTTAAAGCCAAAGTTACATTGCGATTGACGGTCGGTCAGTCAGTCAGTAAGTCTTGGTGTCGAGTCCCATCTGAGACTCATGACCAGATATTTATTACTGTTTGACAATTACGGTCTGGTTTTCGTGGGCGCCCACTCTGACGAGAGGACGGGTCTGTCATTTGTACATGGTACTGGCCCTTGCCAGCGCAGTCTTTCTCGAGTCCGAATCCCTTGGTACCCGCGATCATATCTTACACTCTCCTACGACTCGCAGGGTCACTGTGGAGGTATTCGACCCAGCCTCCACACGGGCGAACTCATCATACCCTGAAGGGTGTGCCCGGTTCCTTATATCGGCTAGCTCGTATCCATGGAATTGATTTATTATCGCGAAACCGTTTGTTAATTCGTAAACAAAGGTTTGGACTTTTTTAAGTGTTCACAAATGTTAGTTCCCGTATCCATGGAAACCGTGTCTTGTAATCAGTTGGTTTCCAAGAATCCATCTGTCCGTGGTGACTGTCTACCAGTCTACACAGTGTGACATTCCAAAAGACCATAATGTAAATTTATTATAGTGTGGAGCTGAAAGGAAGAGACAGAGAAAGTAAAGGAGAACAAAAATGGAACAACGGAAAGAAGGAAAGAGATAAAGAGATGATGGAAAAAAAATCTGAGATTAACATCTGTATTCTGTTTAATCTATAAACATGGTAGTAACTATGCAGAGCAATTCCTTTAATATATAAACGTCAGTATTTTTCCCAGAGAATTTGTTCACAGATCATGTACGATTTTCAGAATAAACAGCGATTACTTTCTTATACTGTATTAAATAATCGGTCCTTGTAATTGAGATAAAGTGTATTTTATCTGAGGTAGGAAATGCGATTTTAAATATTTCAATGACTTCTATGTTTCAGGTTGGTAAATGATGCAGACAACTATATATGGGTGGCTGTTCTGTGAACTGCACTGTTTCGAGTTTGAGAAGGAGCTATCAGCCCATCTCTATTCCCAAATGCGACGAGATTCCTACAAAATGACAAAAGTTAATCTCATATGTGTGCATAAAACTGTACTGCAAAACACACCAACAACAAAACAAGTTAACTTCACGAATCTTCAGCACACTGGAATAACAATGGTGAATACTAACCAGACAGAAATTCGTTGCGTAAATACCTAATGTTACTAGTTTGTATTCTGGTGTGTCCTTTCGTGTTACACTATGCAAGGAAACAGTTGTTGTGTTCCTTGCAAAGTCTGTTTGTCCTGATTACCTGACTCGCTCCTAGAGAACTGTAGAGCTGACAAAGTTTTTCCGCCAATGAACTGAATCATATTATAAAAGAACTTGTAGAAATTGAAGTTTTGTACAAATTTTCAAATCGTTCTCAATTGACTTAACGGTGCTGTTTCGAATGAAGTTATTATATAACGTAGAAAGATACTGATATGTAGCTCTCCCGGTATCCGGATAGAGACACTAAGAGCCAGATAATGTACGGTGATCTTGTCGAATTCGTACCATTCAGCTATGCTGAACTGCTCCACAGGATAGCAGAGGAAATGTTGATATCAAATTAATTGAAGACAACTAAGAAAGGGAATATGTTGTGCCGAGTAAACTGATTCCTGTAGTAAAATAAATTTTTATGTGTGCATGTGACCACTCAATTTGTATGAAACAGTTGATTTTCACGTATGAAAATCCGTCTTCCTACTACTTACATATAACTCTCATGAACAATAGCAATTTTCCAGTCATATGCGACTTATGTACTGGAATCTATTAGTAATGTGATAGTTGTGTTAGAAATATGAAAACTAGCGAAATACTACGAAAATTAAGTATAATCTCATGAAAACTAAGCAAAATACCACAAAAACCTTAAAAAAACCTAACATTGCAGATGTATGGTTTACATTTTTGTATCATATTCGGAAAGTAAGGCCTGTCACGGTAGCTGAGCGCTCTAAGGCACGTACTGTCTTCGCTCGCTTGGAAACCGGGATCGTGGGTTCGAATCCCACTCAGGGCATGGATGTTTAGTTTGTGTGTGTGCGTTTTTCTGTGTTTGTGTACAGGCAGAGGCCTTGCGACGAGCTGATCACCAGCCCAAGGAGTCCTACCGAATGTGTAAGATCTAGAAAAATCGAAGTGAACGGAGACGTTCATGGAGGTAGGTCTAGGCCCACTGGGGCTGTAGTGCCAAGGAAAAATAAAATTCGGAAAGTAAACGTTTCTTGCATTCGCCCCCAACCTCTCTGGATTTAAAATCTTGAACAGTGTGTTATAATAGGCCCCGAAATTTTCTATGTCAATCCTAATAAATCATTAATCACAATCCTACACATAGATCTTACAATTTCTGTTTCTGAGAAAGAGTCCGTAAATAGACAGAAAGATAGAAGAAGAAAAGTCATTTATCATTGTACTCATAACACCCTTTAAGGACTCTTTATATGAAGGTGTATCTGTCATTGTCTACTGGAATTTAAACCTTTTGGATTGGGAACTCAGATATCAAAGTCACAGAATATTTTCGGATTTTAGTTTCTCACAGTAGTGGCTATGAATATTACTATCTTCTGTGATTTGAGGATACATAGCCTGATAATTTACTTTCCGAAGTTTTGAGGGAACGTGGTGAGGTCTTAACATGGTCGTGGGAACCCAGAACACTCTTCTATGCTGACGACAGAAGCAACAGATTTCTCTAAAACATCGGGAAACACGTACCTTTCTACACGGCTTCAAAAGCTACAAAAAAAAAGATAATCTTCGCACATAATTGTGACTGTGAAATATAAAATCTGTGTGCTCACTTTGAATGTCTCTTATTTCGACTGGATATAATATTCCTTTGGTGAGGTGATTACAAGAAGATAAAGTTTTAATCTCCTGTAGGCTATATTACAGCCCCGTTCCA